TTGACTGGTTTTGTTTCCGGTTTGAGTAAGTATTTAACAAATTGCTGAACCAATATGACAAAAGCAACATTAATGCAGTTTGGCTCTTTATTTGAACATTTAAATCTTTTTTTAAACCACCTGTAATCATGGCCCTGCCTACTGTATCTAATCAACCTGCAGCGCAAACACACTGTACCTACGTAGGCAAGATTGTAAAAACCCTGAGTTGACTCATCGTGTGTGCACTCAGTTCTCACCTCTCTCTCTCTCTTACACAGCTTCACCTCATTATATTACTATGACAGCTGAAAAGCAGGGCCATAAAGACAGATGGTCAAAGGTGGCCAAATAACTCTAACGATCTGTTCTATCTCATGGAGAGTTTCACTTTCCTCCTGTTTCAGCTTGTCCGAGACCGGCAGGAGTTGACTCACAGCAACATCAACACGACATTAATCCAGCAATTTTTACTGCTGTTTCATAAATACAAGAAAAGTTATGAATGCCAAGATTCATGGATATAATTGCCATATGTGAGTCAGTTCGTGAATCAGTTTGAATGTGAGTTGGCATACTGTCCATGATTATACAGCTCCAGCAGGACATTACTTTAACAAGTCACGAAAACTGATATAAAGTGTAAAAAGTCTTGGGAGTCTTATGGTGCGGAAAGTTATCTGAACGTGAATCAAATTTTACACGTTTATGATTGATGCAGTTGAGTGTAACTAGGTTAATAATGTCACTTTAAGGGCTTCAATTAACGATTATATTCATTATCAATTCATCTTATTTTCTTGATTTGTCTATAACGGTTTGGTCCATAAATAGTAAAAATGCCCAGTCCATTTCTGTTGAAAGGTATCCTTAAATCACGGCTGTGTATCGGAACAGTCAACCTTTAAGTGAGAAAGGTGATTTTAAGGTGAGGTGAGGCTCTGAGAAGGGGGACGGGTGTTCTCCCGAGTTATCACCAAGTTTGTTTTATGGGTTGGCCCGTTGTAAAGTAGGTCATCAATGTTCAACTCTCAGCACACATTTACACACCTTGAAGCGTTACCTGAGCAGTGGCACCACAGGTCATGTGTGATTTAGAGCTGACATTGGAGAATTCAGGTTACGCTACAGATACTGTAGGTTCGTCTTCGACTGTTAGAGCTTCTCAGAGCTGAAGTGGCATTAACTATATATTTAGTTAATATGAATCATAGATGCGTTAAATGGCAGGTCCTTTTTCAGAGTGCCATTACAGGCTAGGCTGTCAACAAGATTAAAAACCCTCTTTACTGTTGTATCATCTTTAGACATAAGAAAAAAATTAAACCTCACTCCCTACGTCCATTCACTCCCATTGGGAACGAATGGAAAAAAGATGGTTTTGGAGCAGAAGCCGAAGCGTGGGTTGGAGGAGCAGAACGCCAAAACCTCAGTGACTGCCGACAAGCACTGCTCAGTCTCAGAGGGGGAAGGAGTAGGAGGCGAATAGGGGAGAAAAAGGGGGGACAAGCGGGGGAAGGAGGGGTGAAGCAGGAAATGAGGCACTGGGGAGATTTGCCAAATCCAGCAATGGTCAGAGAAGACATGGTGAGGGACTGAAGGCTCAAACAAGTTTCTCCTCTTTCAAACGTGACAAAACAACTGTTAAGGACTTTCTGTAAAGTTCCACAACCGTACATACAACTCTTTTATTTATTTGAATGTAATTTTTCTCCATACACACATCCATATGTTCAACTGTGGCTAATTACGCCCAAAGAAACCATATGATTCACCATTTGTCACCTACATATAGGATGCTGTGATGGTTTGATTTACACAACTCCCTTGAAATATGAAAAACAAAACAACAATGCAAAACAATGCACCTGCAGTTGGACACAAATGATTCATGTTGCTTTAAAAGCTCACATGTGTGCCGATCACCATCAGATATTTTATAACATTCACAGTAATATGAGCCACTTTTGTAGCTATATTTGTAATGTGATTAACTGTAGGCACTCTTTTTTCAGTGGGCATTTACATTATTTTGTCTGCCCCGTGTATATGGCTCTGTCTGTATATATGAACATCTCTTTAGGCTTGCAAGAAATATAGTGCACCTGCTGTGACTCACTGGAAACTCTTGCACATAGTTATTTGATTTTTTTTCTACTATGGTTCCTGAAAACAGTTCAGTGTATTTTGTATCCTCAGAACGCCTCTCGTATCTTTCCAAGAACTGCAAGATGTCCAGTTTCCTCTCAGCTCTCTGAGCAGTGACCACCATAATGTCATAATGATCATTTCAAAATATAACGCACACTAGTACAACTTGCAGTTCTAAGAATACGCACTGGCAATAGATGTTCTGAGAAAAGAGGCTGTTCTTCATCCCACAGCCACAGTGAAAACTAGGTATGGCAGCGTGGTCTCCACCTGCTGCAACAGGGCACAGCAGTCTGGCTGCGAGAGCGGCCAGGTATCATTTCACTCTCATAAATCTGTTAAAATATGACACAGTGTTTGAGAAAACAAAAAGCCAAGAGGAGCAGGAGAGTACAAAAACCTGACACACTGAACCAGTAAAATACTAAAACACACACTCAGGCAAGCAGTGGCAGCAACCACAGCACACCAGGAAAAACATATCCAGATGTTCTCCTCATAGGCTCACCAACCCCCTCCTACACACACACACACACACACACACACACACACACACACACACACACACACACACACACACACACACACACACACACACACACACACACACGAGGGCCACACATGGGCTACATATTACAGAGGCAGAGGCTTGCTCTCCAACTTCTCTTTTCTCCTCTTTCTTTCTCATGTACACACACACACACAAACACACACGTACAGTTATAGTTCTCTCTTTGACATAATCATTCCCTAAAGCCCCTAACCTTAATCATCACAACTAAATCCCTAACGCCAACCGTTAGTGGGCAGCGTTGGTGGGGGTGTGAAGCGTCAGGTACTGGTGAAACATCAAATACGTTCCAAAAGTTTCAGTAACAGATCCAAGTTTTATCAGATGCCAAAACATTTCACATAAGTTTATAATACTCTGAAACAGAATATTGTAACTCTGGAAAGTTATCATAAAGACAATCATTTTATCTTTCCTTACAACAACCACATGACAGTAGAAATACAGCGTTCGCGTTGCAAAGTTATATTTTATAGGCCTACACAGCTGGTTCAACTATTTTGTCTGATGCCAGTTCATTGGCACCCCCGCTGCGTCAACGCACTGGCCTCATTTAAATGAACGAGAGGGCTGAAAGCGGCCTCACCCTAAACTAATGGTTCTCAAACCTTTTCTGGTGCCCCACAGTCTTCATCAAACATCAACAATGATAGAGGGAGCAACTAATAAATAATTTTAATTTTAGTGAAATAAAGAGGAGCACTATAGCATCAGCAAACTGATAAATCATATTCATTCAACTTAGTTTCACTCCATATCATACACGACTCCAGTTTCAAGCCCAGTTTACACTGCCTGTTCTGCAGTGCGCATGGCGGAACTTCTTGCTTTTTATTTTGGTGCCCATGTTAACAGATTAGAGGAGCCACACTGCCCGCCTGAGTCGCGCAGCTAATTTTGTTTTGCGAGCCACACCAAATTTCCAGCAAAAACAGACTCCTCCTCCTCACAGTCATATCGACATTATACCAGCAACATATACACCTTTCACCATCAAATTAGTTCAAATGTCATATCAATTTGCTATCGACTAATTGATTAACTGAGCTCTAAATTGAATCTAAACCTTTTTCTAACTTTTAACCTTTAAAACAAATCTCAACGGTCAAACAACCTTTTGAATGTATATTTCAAGTGAAATGTCCTTGTTTAGCAGAAATATCCACACTTAAGGTTCAGAAACTGGTTCCCACAAAGAAAAACGTACACACACACACACACACACACACACACACACACACACACACACACACACACACACACACACACACACACACACACACACACACACACACACACACACACACACACAAAATCAAGACTCGCAGTTATTGAACCCACTCTTTCAGCCCCTCCTCTCCTCGACTAGAGCTCCTGGCAGGCCGTCTGGTTGAGGCCCATAGTAAAGGGAGCCGTTTTCTCTGGCATGAGTGGCTGTGTGTGTGTGTGTGTGTGTGTGTGTGTGTGTGTGTGTGTGTGTGTGTGTGTGTGTGTGTGTGTGTGTGTGTGTGTGTGTGTTTGAACGTCTGTGTATGTGTGTCCTCGGGCCCCAGACAGGAAGGAAGAGAGTGGGCCCGGCAGCACAGCTCCAGAATTCCGGTTTTGTTTTTCTTCTTTTTCCATCAGTGCAGAGCCGGGTCTTAAAGAAACAGTCATTAATATTTTCCCCTTCTTAATGACGCCACACTGTTCTCTGAGAGAGACCTCCACAATAGGATTCAGTATGATTCATTACTTTAGTATGTAAACATATTAGCAGTTAAATAAAAAAGTCAAATGAATGAATAGTTCTTTTATGGTTCGGATGAATTTGTTCCTCGAGAAAACGCAGCGTGCGTCTAAGTGTAGCCCCAGGCTCATTTTCATTGAAGCTTCTAAAAATAAAAAGTACTGATCCAGTATCAGTGGTCAGGTTACGTAAATTACTCCGGGGGGTGAAACATAAGGATTTTGGACACAAGCAGGACAGGCGTATTTAGCTGCCAACCCCCGTGCTTTTATGATAAATCATCACTCAAAATCTGGCAAGGAAAGGGTTGAAAATGCATCACCTCGACAAATAGATGACACAGCTCATGATATTAACGTCTCTGCTGAGGACAATAAAGACAGAAGTCACGATTTCTCTGAAAGCCGCTTGGCCTCTGTGGACCAATCAGAGAGGGAAATGGTCTCTTAAAAGTAACCGGTGACATCATGCATTTGGCAATGATTATGAAAACAAACCCTGTTTCACTCGATACGCAGTGTTGTGAAAGAGTAACCGGAATGGTTTTATCAACTAATTTCAAGTCAGAGATAAGAGTGGAAAACATTTATTAAGAAGGTACACAATAAGTTACTTTCAGTGTATAAAAGCTTTAGACAAAAGGATGCAAAGGGACAGAACAAGACCCTTTCAAACTGCAGTAATAACAATCAGCCCAATCATTCGAACTAAAAGTGTAAGACTGCTGTTACTTTACATTTTTGTCATTATCAACAATCCAATGAGAAGGACATAAAAAAATAGTTGAAGACTCATTTGCTACACTAGTGAGTGATTTAAGGTCCAATGCCATCGCTCTCTTTATCAACATTTACAAGCAACGCTAGAAAACTTGAGTCGTCAGCCTACCGTGACAGGAGGAATGTAACTGATATGGGAAACGCTTCATTTTTATAATTATACTGGCAAAGAAACTGTATTTATTGTGGATCAGTTATGTCATGGCCGATACACAATCAGCTAAATGAGGTCAATGTTGGTGCAGATACCAATCTGGCGTATCAAATCCCAAGTATTCACGGCAGCAATATGTGTATGATTGACGTAATGAAGGGACATTTTGAACAAAGAATCTGAACAATGGAGGTTAATGGCACAGGGAAATTCTTCAGCTACACAGACAATATCGTTATGAGGGCCAATTCATTGTTGGTTTTTGGTATTTTCACCGGATTTGTTGATAGTAAGAAAAATATAGAAAATCACTTATTCTTATTCTTTAAAAACAGTTTAAAATGTACTAATCTGGACATCACGTTTCTTCATGTAAGACACAAAAAAGGCACTGTAATGGCTGTGCAGTAGTTGATTTAAAACTCATCAGTGCTTCTACTAATGATGGCAGGTGAACAAAAATGAAGCATTTGTGGACAACAATCGTCGTGAATAAGGTCAAATTGAGGCTTTAAACAAAGGTTCTTGTTTTAATTACTTTTCCAATGAGCTTCTTTTTTTAAACTAAATTCTTTTACTGACCTGAGTGCAAACAGCCACTGTGCCCTCTGTACATTTTTGGTTGTAAAGAACATTTTACTGATGCCATTTAGCACAAGCCTGCACTCAAAAATAGAGTTAAAATATCCCCACGTGCAGTGCATAGGCAGGTATGAAAGCCTCTTGCATGTGTCTACACACATACACACACACACACGCACCAAAGTGACTAGTAGCAGATCCTTCGTCAGCAGAAAAGGGACTGCGCTCTCAGCACTGTTGTAGAGGAACAACTTCTCTAATATTCAACTCCTTCACTTCTGATATCTCTGAGCAGTGAGGGTCAGTGTGCGTTTAAAGTCCCGTCAGGAAAACGGTGCGGGTCAACACTTGTAAATGTAAACGTGTAAATGTGTCACCGCGTGTGAGATTGCACGTTTCAAGTGCGATCTAACAGCAGCGAGAGAGCACTGTACATGTGTTTCCGTTAATGGTGCTGATTGACCTCACATCCCTCACACCCCAGCTCAACCTCTCTCTGATGCCGCCATCTTTAGGCCTCCTCTCTTCTCTGAAGATGCAGACCGATCTCCATCTGGTTCTCCAAACACTCTTTGAGCTTGTCCTCTGTCAGCGTCAGCCGCTGCTCCAAGATCGAAACCGTCTGGATCGAGGCAGAGAGAGGAGAGGAGCAAGACAAAGAAAGAAAGAGGGGGGGGGGGGGAGATGGATAAGACAGAAAGAGCATGTTAGAAAGGGCTGTACAGCATCAGCCTGACAGTAATGACTATATAATGGCTGTGTTTGTGTGTGTGAAAGAGCCAGTTTGTGTGTGTTTGAGACAGATGTTGTGCGTGCAAGACAATCCAGCTGATTATCGTAGAGAGATCTGCTGCCTGAGCTGAAAACACCAGAGTTTCTGTGTCTGGCACGCACTCTCTCTTGTTCTCCCTCTCACACAGTTGCATAAACACACTTACGCACACAGAGAATACAAGAAAGTCGCTATCCGAAACAGGATGGGCATGTGTGGGTAGTGAGATCACAGTGCGACATACTTTTCTCCTCTCAGCATCCTCCAAACAGTGAGAGTATTTGTTGTATGTTTGTGCTTGTTCATTTGAGCACTGTGTCGTCTGAGACCGTTTGTCAGAGGAGCCTCCAGGTGTAATTTCCAGGGGCGTCGGCATCTAAATGAACAGATATCCGTGGAGAGTGCCGGCGTTTCTATCTTTTATTGTGTCTGAGCTTCAGCAGCTACATTGAGGCAATAACTGCATTAGCCTTTTAAGAAATAGAGAATTAATGGCCCAGACCAGCCAGTAGAACTGAGCACAGTACTACAATTATTAAATCATTACATTGATAATTTCATGGATTTTAGTTTAAGAAAACAAATCTATTACGATTTGTCTGTTTACATTGTTTCTTTTATTTCATTTTGCCATACATTCGTTGATTAAAATTTGTCTCTTTCTCTTTACATGTAAGGCACTTTAAATGTACTGTGTTTGAAAGGTGCTATAACGACTTGCAATTATAACTATAGCTAACTATATGCTCTTTTATTCTGCAAAAAACTATTTGAATGACAGGAATTTGAATGAATCTTCTTCTGGAAAGCGGCGAAAGTTTCCTCTGAATCACTGACATAATTGTTTACTGAACTAATGTTGCCTGGTGACAAACACAGTCCCAGCTAGTAAGCGGTTTTGGGTACTAGTGCTTGGCAACAAACATTTGGCTCAGGGCAGGAACAATCATACAGTAAACATGTCATCCACAGACAGATGAGGCTCTCCAGATTTGGGCCAGTAAGTGAAAGATATGTCAACATGTCCTGACCTGTTATTCTATGTTGCTCCTTGTGCCAGCGACTGTAATTTTGAAATTGCTAGAAAGCAGCACAGAGATGAGTAATTTATCAAAATATAACCAGCTGTGTATGAGAGATTGTATTTGATGGATAAAGAAACAGACATGAAAAACCAAACCAATTTAGTTGACCTTAAAACTGTTTAAAACTGTACAGTGGGTAACTTAAAACTATAATATGGTAAGCACTACCAATGCAGGGTCTAAATAAAGATCTACATGGTAGACTTTCTCCTTATCTCTTATTTAATTTCTGTTCCAGGGCTTAATGGTCACTTTATACAATCACGGGTCGCCTTGTCGTCCCCCATGTTGACACACCATGTTTCTACAGTAGCCCAGAAGGGACAAACCAAACACTGGCTCTAGATAGGGGCGTAGTTTCTCCTTCACATTTGAAAGGGGAGGGTGATCCACAACTTTACTGCTAGATCTTTAAAAGCCAGACATCCAGAGACAGATTTAGGAGACAGGACAGGACATAGACCCAAAGCTAAAAACACTAAAACAGTCTTTCATTTTCTTTTCTCTTATGACTGTGACTGGATGGTCACTGTCGGGGTGGACTATTCGGATATTCACTCGTTCAGTACCAACTGGGGCAGCCCTTATTGATTTGGACGTTTAATGTCTCTCTGAACACATGAAGTGTGTTCCTGGGCTTTACTTTACATATTCTTATATTCAAAAATTACCTTGTTAGTACATAAAAAACTACAGCTCCCATGAACATTTTTTGGCAGCTTGGGTACTTGTGTCATTGTAACTCTGTCTTACCCATATTCACAAAATGTACCAACCTTCTCTCTAATTTCTCTCACTGTAATTTCTGTGCTCTTAAAACGTTTTGTTTAGTTAAGCGTCTAGTCTTCTTTGTACCACAAAACTCACTAACTCGCCTCTTATGTTGAGCCGTGATGTTTAACCCACAAAGGTGCAAGACCTATGGGAAATGGTATTAAATAAAGGTGGCTAAAAAACATAAATATTAAATAAACAACGATGGTAGGGATAGGGATGTCACGATAACCGATACCAAGTCGATGCCAAAATTCTGAAAACTTGACGGTACAGAACCGTAGGTATATACGCCTGCAAATATTCTTGTCTTCCGTTAAATACCATAGGAAAAATTGCAGTTGGAAGGGTGATTTTACTGTTGTTAACTCTTTACTCTTTATCCCTCCAGACAGTGACAAGACCAAAACAGATTATTATGCTATTCTATAGTCTACTTTGTTATTATGTAAAGTATAAAAAAGTTACATCTTGGTTGCAGGCAATTTTCATAATTTCATTAAATTATCCGTCCTTGTGCAGACATATGAGGCATGCCATTCAACTAGTGAGGCTTTGTTCCAAGGCTGTTACATAGTTATTACAAATGTCAGAGGAATTTTGAATGAGGTTTTCTCTCTTCTGAACAGAACCTGAAAGTTCTAGTTTCACTTCAACTCTCAATAGATTATCAAGCAAACCATATAAACTCAGGTTATCTGAGAAATTACTGCAAACCGTTTAAACGCAATAAAAGTTCTATTTTAATCTCAATATTCACGGCCGATCTTTAATGCACATGTAAACGTACGAAGCTTCAAACCCGAGACACCATGTGCAGCACGTTCTGCAGAACTTGCATCCAACAATCCAGCTGGGTTTGTTAATTGGCTATCAAGGTCTTGCGTTGACCCCACAGTGGCTCACAAACAACCAGGCAGAAATAATCACCAACAAGTAATGATGAAGGAATTGACAAAGATCGTGAACAATGGCTTGTTAAATCCCTTAGATAATCTCACACTCCAACACAAAGAGCACGCACACACACATACACCAATGAGTTCAACAATGTGCGGGCGAGTGGTGTTTTCTTTTGGGTCATCAAACTAGATAAGATCTCCTGCTATTTCATGCATCATGGGAGAGAAAGGGCTTGTATTTCCTCTTTCTCTCCCTCTCTCTGCCTGTCTCCATTTTCTAGATCAATACTACCCTGTTTATCTTACCAACCTGATATGGCTACCCAGTCCTCAGCCCGGCTAGCTAATAGTGTTTGTGTGTGTGATTCTGCACGTGTCCCCAGGCAGCGGCAACATTATACGGGCATATAGTTTTCATCTGGAGTAGAAACCAAATCTTTATGCTCCTAAAAATAGAGCGAGCTGTTTTTCTTTTCTCTCCAGAACACATTATACTCTCCATCGCCCTGAGCATTACTGGCCTCTGTTACAAAGCCTCATAGCTTTGGTATGACCCAGGCTACAATAGTCTGAAAGTCAAAGAAAGACAAACTGCTGCTGATGGCAAAGTCAAAAACACAAAAAAATGATAGACTGGTTGCTTGATGAAGTCAGTGAGCCAATATCAATATACTGCAAGTGTGGAGATCCAACAGTGTTACTACCCTTAACCAGATGAAATCCATTGTATTGGCAGAAAGCCAATTAAAAGCCATCAATTAAAAGCCTCAGCCGAGTGTTTACATGCTAATATTAGGCTCTTGGTATGTTATGACAGCATTATGCTTAAAATACTTTTTAGAGAGTTTTTAATCTATCTTGTGATGAATTAAAGTGTTAGACATGTGGAAATGTTGAGCTCTATATGCATAGCAAGAGGATCGCCAAGCCATGAGGTGACTCTTAACTTCAATATTGTGGATTTCCCAACCTGACAGATACCTGAAGATAAATATTAAACAGTTATTATAATCTGATAATAAAGATTATTTTTTTCACCTAAACTGACTAGATGTTTTAAAGAATTGTTGCAAATATGTACTGAAGTTAACATTGTACAGTTGGAAAAACTTGTCAGTACCCTCTGGTGGACAAACTACAATCTAGGGTTGCTACTAACAATTAACTTCATTATCGATTTATCGATCTTTATTATCGATTAAATTGACGATTATTTGTTAGATTGATTGACGGAATAATTCAATAATTTCTATGAAGTTTCAGGATATAGTAAAAAAAAAAATACCATCAGGAGGAGAAGATTTCAAATGTTGTTTGTCAAACCGTGAGTCCAAAATCTAATTTTATAGAATTTACAATGATACAAAACAGAAAAAAAAATTGAAAAACCTAAACTTAAAGCTTATCTTGGGAAATTCTTTCTTCCTTTCACTACAACTCAGAGAGAAAGTAAATTGACTGTTCTGGCTTCAATGTTAAGAGAATGATTTCGTTCTCCCAGAGCACTACTATAAACATACAAATTAGAGACTGCCTCCAATTCCCTAGAATCTCAAACACTGTAGTGAAAACTTTGTTATTCCTCAAAGAGCGTTTAGTGGTTTCTAAAAGTCCTGAATTCACACTTTCTTCACCAAATTGATTTTAATCTTTTCTGAGGAACAGCTGTCAGAAAAGTACACTTTCTCCTATAATGCCCTTTGCAGCTCCACTTATGGCTGCCTTAACAGGAATTGGAATTCAGTGGAGGGGTCCATATTTAAATCTATTATGACACATACAGGTTACGTAGAAAAAAAGCTGAATTGTGGTTAGCTCTGGTAGTTTGGGGGAATTACAGAGCAGTTGTGAAATGTTCTTTCAAAGAAGCAAGTGTCAATTAAAGACTTCCTGTTAAATTTTTTTTTCAACCCATTAACCATATCAAAAGAGAAAGTTCACAAAAGTAAACTACTGTCACCTCAACAGTCTATTGAGAAAAGAGAGGGCGCTACTGCACTTGAACTGGTAAATGAAATTGAGTGAGAGATACCAATTCTTCATTCAAGATTCTTCATAATTAAGAGGGACAGTGTGAAAGAAGCGGATAAGTGTGGGTACTGCAGGCTTAGTGTGAGAGGACATGTAAGAGCGAGTAATTATAAGACAGAAGGAGAGCAAAAGGAGAAAGGGGTATGGGGATTGAGGATTGGGGAAGGGTGGGGTGGGGGGAGGGGGGGCAGACAAGCGAAAAGCAGCCAACACAGCAAACTGTGGCTCTGGAAGCTTCAGTCTAATGTTGAATAATTCATCATCCTTCTCTCAGTCTCCTCGACTATTAGAGTTACAAAGAGCTGTAATAGTGAAAAATAACGCTGCAGGAAAAGACTTATAAAGGAGTAGGAATATAGTGAAGAAATAAATAATGTCAGGCTGTTCTCCAGAGGATGGGAGGCAGTAATTTAAATTGTCACATTCGCCAAAGTTGGACAGAAATTAAAATAGATTATTACTACACCTTGTTGCGCATTCTGAAACAGAATGAGTGCATTTCTGAGGTAAATTACAAAACAATTGGTTGAGCCTTCCTCAGAAATACTTACAGCAAGCTGCATTTAACATGCCTCGTATGCATAGTCTGTATTTTAGAGAAGTAACAGCCTCATGGGTTACACTTTACTTGAGAAAGGCCTCTGCACAGTGGAGCCATTCTTGTACTTTACAAACCACTATTTCCTACATAACTATTTAAAGTTCCAGTGGTCTAAATGAGTTGTTACATGCTGTTTTTTACAACATAATGCAGATCCCATTTAACTAGCGGTTGTCTGAACTACACAGTGTTCTGTAGAAAACCACTTTTTAAACTCTCAACCAGCTGTGTATAAAACAGCAGGTGAGGTGCAGGTCATTGATCTGCCAGTGTTACCATCTGTATGGGTGAAAAGGCGTCTCGAAGCCTGTACGACTGTGCTATTTGCAGCATTTGTATTGATTTTGATGCAGGCTTCTCCACAGGTCCACTTCTATAATTCACTGTGTGGATTCTCACAGCAATCTGAGATTCTTCGGTTTCACATCCTTTTCAACACCAACCGTAACAGGTAAAATCCGGGTGGCTTTCATTTACATTTAATGTTACTCACCAAAACTCATTGTGTGTATCACTGAGGTCTCACAAACATTCAAAACACTTCCTTCTTCATTTGCAACATTTTTAAACCAGAATTGTTCAAACCTGCTAGTTGTAGGCAGGATTGTGAAGTGCAACATCCACAGTGAATGCATGAGACAAATAGTCGACTCACTCCTAAAAGAACTGCTCCATAACACTTCAAGAGGACTAGAGATCCACTTTTAAATTAAGTACCTTTAAATACAGTGTGTCATTAAATTAATTTTTCTTCCTTGTTCTTTGTGTAAACAACTAATTTAAAAACAAAAAAAAAAGCTCAGTCTCTTTGATAAAACAGCTCAGTAAAAGAAGTCTATTAAACCACAGGTTACAAGCCGTAGGAGGTGTAACGACTGGGTTGACACTACTGGAAGTCACCGCAAAGGCACATGGGAGGAACAGTGTTTTAAAAAGGTCCAGTGTGTAACATTTAGGAGGAATATAATATTTATAGCTATGTTTTTATTAGTGTATAATCAGCTGAAAATAGGCTAGTTTTAATTACCTTAGAATGAGCTGTCTACCGTTTCTACAGTAGCCTAGAACAGACAAACCAAACACTGGCTTTGGCCTTTTGCATTTCTTGCGAGTTTCGCAGTCACAGTAGTTTGTCCTACACGCTTGGACTGGGAGAGTGAGGTCAGGACACTGCAATCACCAACTAAACTGCTGGATGCCACTAAATCCTACTCCTTTAAGATGGTCAGATAGATGGTCAGAAATGTGTATTTATACAATATGGAAACATAGTCATCATCTGTTAACCTAATCTAGAAAAGACATCATTCATGTTTCCACCACTGAAGAATTTAAACCAAACAATAAAAGAGCCGAAGGATAAAACCACACATAGATGATCCATCTGGTATCAGGGTTGGGGTACAGTGGGCTTGAAAGGAATAGGTTGGCACCACCCCCCTGGGAGGGGTTAGCTAGCAGCATGGCTACCCTGGGCCAATATTAAACGCTCCCACATGCTGGACTGCAGCTTGAAAGAAGAAGCAAGAAAAAAAAATAAAAAAAAAAAAAAAAAGCCAGAGAGAAACCTCTGACAGAAACACACATACAAAAGTGTGTTTGTGTGAAATGCCATTAAGAATTTACACTTACTATCATTGAGTGAGGCAGAGTGCTACCAGCGCTCATTTATGAATGATGTATTATCCTCAGGGCACATTCACAACCTCCGGCGAAAACCCTGCACACACAAAGCACACACACTCTGCCCTCCTGTCCCCCTCTACCTCTTCTTCCTCACCTGACTCTCGATCACTTCGGGTTGCTCTTGTTTGTCTCTTTTTAACCCTCCAACCACGTTCCTTAGATCAGTTCTCACTGTAAGTTAATTTTTTTGCTATATCTAGGCAAAAAAACAACAACCCTCTTTTATGGATGTATTTGTGTCCAAATCCTTCACTGCTCATCCTAGTTAGGTTGTCAAAAATAGTGATACTTTTTTTGCTCCCATGTTTTTAAAATACTATCTCCATTCATTTCACATTCAATAGTATTAAAAGTACCAAAGCTATTAAAAGAAATAACAACAACAACAAAAAAACAAAAAAAACAGATGAAACAGCAGGGAACAATAAATCAGCTGGTCCTCAATATGTATTCAGTTACTTTTTCTGTACCAGCACTGTGTGCAGGTTGTTAATAAAAAGAAAAAGATCCTTTTTGCGTGGCTGGGACTTGCGTTTTTCCTTTGTACTGTGCTATTGAAAGAGACAGTGCATCCTGTTTTAATACTAGTATTGTATCAAAGTTTAAATGCATGCAGATTGTGACAACCTTACATCCTTTTACTTGAAATAGTACCCAGTGGTAAATGTGTGAGAACAAAGCCTGTTTTTGGTGGAACATCACTCATCTGGTGATTAATTATTTGGTGCGTCTTTCAACAAGCTCAAGCAAAAATACTTGGGAGAAAATGTGCAGCAATTACAGGATAATTGTAAAAAATTTAAATAAACAATTTAAATTAAACACTTCATGGCCTGTAGACACATTTGGATCAGCATAAGAAATAAAACTTGAATGTGATTATATCAGGAATGCACTGAGCTTAAAACTAATGGTTGATTCTTTCCAGCATCCACAGCTGCACATGTTTCACAATAAAAGCCTTCTATGGATGTGAAGGCATTATTATGGCTTTTAAACATCTGCAGAGATTGTTCATTTACAGCAACTCAATACTGAGAGGAAAGACAGCAAAGTAGATTCACAAATAAATCAGCTAGGTGTTAGGAACACCTTGCAATGTGAGCTGTGGTCTGGCTGCAGCCTCAGGCATTGCCACGGAGCTCGGTCGGTTAAATACAAATCTTAACTGAAACATAAAGATGCACTGCTGTCCATTACACACTCACTGATTAATACAAGTTGCAAAGTCAACAGCTGCAGTCATTTCATTTCATGCTGGATAGCTCAGTCAACTAAAAGGCCTAAGCTGTAATTGCAATTTCCGCCAAACAGCAAAGCTTTGAATGTTTTTTGCTGTATTCTACAACAAGTCTCTCAGTATCCATCACTGATCACATCTATGAAGCTAAATAAACACACACAACATAAATAAATGTTGATAAGAAGCAGACATTCGAGTCTTAACTGGTTGCTGTTCTTGTCTGTTTTTTTGTTCAAGGATCTATTTTTAGTCGTGCAGGCTTTGGTTTTGGTCTGGCTTCAAACAGTGTCTGGCCTTCAGCAGCCACGGGAGCATTCACACTGACGGTAGAGCCTAACTGAACATACCCATCATGCTGTGTGTCTTTATATGTGTGTGTGTGTATATATATATATATATATATATATATATATATATATATATATATATATATATATAGTTGCTTTTTTTCAACTTCAAGTCAGAAGTGAGGACAGTTTTTCTGTACCACTAGCATTATGGTACAAATGTGTGAATCTCATACTGTAACAGGCTGGACAAACTTAAAGGATTTGGGAAACAATGAGACAAAACAAAAGGATTTCTGTGTAAAGAAAAAATATTGTATAAAAACAGTAACCAATGTATTATTCTTGTTCCCCACAATATGTATAGTAAATGACAATAAATTGTGTGTATGTGTATGCATGCATGTTGATGATGCATGTTAGAGGGTCAGTACACCCATATTCCATATTACATGTGCAGATTCTTACATGTTTAATTCAGGCTTTTTTTCTCCAGAATGGAATTTCATTTGTGGTGCATAGTGGTGTATTTAATTTTCTTTCAAAAACTAATGAAATACTGACATGTGTCTATGAATGTAAGGAATAAAATCTACCACAAGACATACACACCTGTGTGGAGCCAGTGTGCAAGTTTAATGCAGCACCAAACACCGTGGAAGAGGTTGTTCTTTTTTTTATATGTTTTTGTGTCTGAGCTGTTCAAATCATCTCTGGCCTGCAGGTTTAAAAGTAAAGGAAGCTTTTGTTCTGAACAGTGTGCGTGGGAGGCACACAGCCAAAGTACAATGCATGCTGTTTGTCATGAAAGATTAACACATATTCCGCTTACCTGAGTGAGAATATCCAGTTGACCTATTATGTGTTCCAGGGTGCTGGCTAGACCAGGGGGGACGCCTCCATCTAAGGCCTGGGACTGTGTTTGAACCTGGGGTGAATGCTGTGATAAGCCCTGGGTCTGTGTCTGGTGGGTGGAAGCGGAGCTGGTGCTGGGGTTTCTGTAGGTGTGGGAATGAGTCGCTCTGCTGTGGCTGCCACTGCGACTGCTGGTCTGAGTGCGGGCAGCAGTGTGGGAGTCATGTCCGTTAAAATGTTCTGATGGTCCAGAAGCCTAAAAGCAGAGAGGAATGGAGAATGAAGAGTCGCTAGACACGCAGATGGTCTCTGACGTGCTTCACATACAATATTGGTAGTGATATGAGAACCTCTTAGTTGTAGAGGGGTGTCATTAACATACTGTATAGTGCACACTATGTGTTTTGTGCTCCCTGAGCATACTACTAAAAAGGAAATGGCTCAAACAATGAAACACGGTTGATATTGGTTCAATCCATAAACCACATGAGGAGCTTTCATAATTGGTTTAAAAAAACAGTTACACAACACTGAAAATAAAACAATTGACCTGGTCTTTTTCAAAAAGTGCTAAATAACAACCACAACAACAGCAACAATAATAATCGTAATTTATATAGCACTTTCCAGCAGTTTTAAGTTGCTTCACTTAATAAACACAGATAATCAACAATAACAGCAATGGATAAATTATGTGTAAAGGTATCTATACATGCATAATAGTACACAGCATTAAACAACCAGTAAAAATGCAGTTTCAAACAAAAACAGATACTCATCAATAACAGTGGTGTAACAAACAAAACTAAGCTGAGACAAATAAAACCAAGAGGAACTGAAAACAGGAGACGCCAACCTGAATAAGTGGGTAAAATGTGATACAGATTCAGCTGACCCGACAGTGAGTGGGAGGCAGATCCATAGAATGCAATCATCGATGAATCACAAGCCGACTTTCTGAAGGGTCATCATATCAGTAATAGTATTGTAGCAATAATAGTAGTTAATATTAGATATCCGCAGACTTACTCAGCTCGTAAAATAGATTTATCGTAAACAGTCTTTTTTCATTCATTGGTATGAGCAACATATTTTGCTCAGATCTCTGTCAGGCTCTTTTTATGTGCTAAGTGTGAGGTCGAATACCACAAACATTTGTGACTCAAATGTTTTTCTGAATACTGTGATGTTTTTCTATATCCGAACTGAAGTCTAGGATGGATAGAGGGTGTCATATGATACAGATTATGAAGCCCCTTTTGTGATTTTAAACTTAATAAATAAGACTGACTTAAAAATGTACTTTTATTGAGCATTTTGGTCAAGGTTGATCAGTCTTTTCAAAACGTGAAAGTTCTGGCAACATACTAAGTTGGTTTTAGAAATTAGTAACTTAACTAATACAAAATTACCAACAAATATAGATGACATCACTCATTGATGAAATTGTTTTGTTTTACAAAACACTATAAATACATTTTATATTATAATAATAACACAATTAAAACAGAAATACACAAAACTGAATTAAAGAGGGGAGCATGGGCTTGGTTCTTGGAGTTGATAAATTACCATTTTTAATCCTTTTCTTTCCATAAACTTCTAAAATTAACTGACTTTCAGCACTATAACAAATCTTCGCTTTTCTTATATTTTGCCACAGAATGTAAGAGCACAGTAAGAACCAGTCAAAGTCTTCTCACACAGAAAAGAGGGAAACTGTCAACTCTCTCTTTCTTTCTCTCACAGACACACAGACACAGACACACAGACACACACACACACACACACACACACACACACACACACACACACACACACACACACACACACACACACACAGTCTGCCTGCGTTGTGATTAATTCAATGAGACATAAACACATGGAGGTTAGTGACCACATCTTTCCATCAGCATGTCTATGTGACTAAAAACTGTGTGCACACATCTATAGGTTTCTTCATATTTCTGTCCGTCTCTGTAGACATCTGTCTGGTTGTGAAGAATGGGGTGTCGGTGTGTGTGTGTGTTTGTGTGTGTGCATGTGCATCTGTTCCAAGACAACATCTCTTCTCCATCTCAGTGAGGGAGACAACAACTGTTTTACTCATCACCACGCAACAGGAAATCTATTCACACTCAGCTAAACATGTTCAAGACCGCAGTGTCAAACTGTGCTGTTCCTAAATGAAGCCAGATGAGCAGGGCTGTCAGCTGTCACCTGGCTCTACACATTTGCCACAGAGAGGGGTAATAAATACTGCCACGATAAAAGGCAGGGCAGGGATTCTGTGCAGCCAAGTACAATGGGCTTTGAGATGTTCCCTGATTTTTTTATTATCTTTTCCTTGTGTCGTTCTGTATCAGTTCTAAAGAAATAAAACAATAAACATGTATGACATTTCACTAAATGTGACATTCTTTGACTGAAACTATATTAACATTACTAATAAATGCCTCAAAGAGTAAAAACTGTAGCCATTAAATACTGTTTAAAAGTGACAAAGAATAAAACAGTAGAAAAGAGGTTGGTTTCCACTTCTGGAAGCTCTGCATGAGAGTGTAATATGTGAAAATTGAGATCACGCAGCGAGAATCAATTGCATCCTGAGGAACAAAATGGAAGAGGAACTCAATGGCCTTCAGCGTTTCACCTCCAAATTGCAATTGGCATGTTTCTTTTTTTGTTCAAAATCAAAATGTACTGTGACATTGTGCACATCTTTGTTTGTCTATTATCAGTGTCACAGCTTTCATGCTAAAGTGGTTTGCAGTTTAGCTTTTTTTGTTGATTAAGTGAACAAAGCGGAGTGACTGTAAACACAATGCAGTCAATTCAACAAGTGAAGTTATACACAGGAACAACCTCAGGTCACAACTATAAAGATGGTCATATGGTTAGTCTAGAGCGTTAAACTCGTAAGATATGCTGGAAAAAGAAAACAAACACAAAATAATACAACCGCTCACTCCAATCATCGTCGATGATTTTACAGAATCTTCACACCATAATTAATAATCAACACACTATATATTTCCTTATTTTTTCATTTTATGCGGTGCTTTGATTCCTCTGCAACTCTAATGTGCCGCTCTGATCTTCTGTTGGTGGCGGTACAAAGACAGGAGGAAAGAGAGGAAGAGAAAGAGAGAGAGGGAGGGAGAGAGAGGAGACAATAGAGCAGTTCTGCTGAGCCTACAAGCTCCACCAAGACTGGATTAACTCTTGTTGAGAGTACGACTTATAGCTTTGTATTAAACCAGCTGCTTAAACACACAGCAAGCGCTGGTCCTCACATAAACACACACATGCTCATACAGAAAAGCAGAGGCAAACATGGATGTAGACATATGTGAAAACAGACGTGCACTTGGTGTCTCACATGGACACACAGGTTTTTTTTTGCCCGCATAGTGTTTCTGTTGATGGCATGAAAAAATTGTTGAAACATTGTGTCAGTATTATCTTTTTTAAAACAAAAACATTTTCAAATAACAGATGCAGCATTTTTTTTTCACAATTCCTGTTTTTTTCAGTTTTTTCCATCTTCTACACTCATTATAAAGTTAAATTTAAAAAGTAACACAAATCACTTACTAGCTAACAATCCAAATGTTTCAAAATCAAACTAATTATGACTGAACTGCTACATTTTCTAGTTATCATTTGCAATCAAGCAGCAAAATGGTTTACATAGTGTTTAATTGTGGGCTTTATTTACCTTATAACATACCATCCTTTGCAATGTGACGTTTACATAGAGAGGTTGACGTTAAAACAATATATTGTTCTGCAAACTCAACATATCCTGTACCGCCGTAGCCTTACGTGAGGGCCAGGGGAAAACCCTGAAATGCACAAATGTACACACATGGGCGCGCACGCAAACGCAGCGCACACAGTAACGACCCTCCTAATGAATCACCTGGAGTGGAAAAACCAACAGTGGAAAATTTCCTGAGGCCCAAATTAAACTCTTAGTCCGACACACAGCGAGCCATCAATACACCCTGCAAGCTGCATACAAAACCATTCATCACGCTGCACGCACACACATTCACACACAGAGGAGGTTCCCCACCTGAAATTTTCTGAGGATAGAGCTGAAAAGTGAAGACAGGTGAAACATGCATAAGCCTCAGCAGTCTTATTAGGATGATATGTGGGTAAAAAAAGAATCCCTGAATGCTAAACTCTCACAATACCGCGGCGGCAGAGTGATGTACTGATAGTTGAGGCGCCAAGTTTAACCTTGACATGCTTAAATTTCCCTGAATCCATCTAGAAACCATAACTGCTCCAGCGATGCTGTTGTATATCCGACCCGGTACGACTTGTTGCGTTCAGCTGGGCTTTACGTGTGTATTGTGGCAATGACTGCAATAGCAACAGTAAGAGTTTCCAGTTGAGAAAGAGCAGGAGTCATACCGTTTACTCAACATGTACTATGTACTCAGCTGGATTATGGATAACAGTGCTTTCTCACAGTGGACAATTGGACCTGTCAAACACAGGTGTAACTAATAACATTAATCAGGGCTACATTTCATGTACTTGTACCAGGGCCAGAGCTCTGCTATTATGAATGCTGGCTCACTGGCACATCGACCAGAGCCATCATTAACGTTATTAGCTACACCTGTGCTTGATAAGTCAAAATGTCAAATTGTCGGCCATTAGGAAGGTCTATTGAGGATAACTGTAAAGTGGTACAAACCGCCAGCAAACTGTGATGTTTTATTATTAGTGAAAATGTTCCCCTTAGAATTGAATGCTTAATGGTTTTTATATAGAAATCACAATTTGAAAAGAGTGCACTTTCTGAATTGCAAGAACCGTGCTTTTGAAGATACTTACATAATCAAAAGTGTCTTAAGCTGTAACAAGTTAAAGTTAAAGCTGGCAACTGGCTGTAGTAAATCTAATAACAATTAGGTGAGTTGGCAAAACAACAGCAACAAAAAAGCTCTTGGCTGTTGTCTGGTTAACAGGCTTTTTTTAATGGAAGACATTTAACATGTCACTTTAGGGAAATCACAGGTGTACATAATAACATTAATGATGGCTAAATTCCATTTAGCTGCTTCAGTTTCAGGGTTCTGGTGTTGTGAATGCTGGCTCATTGTCATTGCTTACTGGGACACTTGAATAAAATGGAAGCATAATTAACGTTATTAGTAACACCTGTTCTTTTCCTACCATGACAAACGAAAATGTCACCTGTGAAAAAAAGCCAATAATTATGCATTTCTGTGT